CCAAATCTACCCACACAATTCCCTACTTTCAATAACTCCACAGTCGAATTTCTCTGTCTAATCCAATGATCCATGCCCATGAAGCTCTGTAATGATAGATGGAGTCATTAGCACTTTAGTTTCTACACTGAACCCGAAGCCAAAGCATATGGTCTGACAGATGTTCCAGCAACAGGCTCTATTTGATTTGCCATGTAGGTGTCCACTTATACTGGACTTTCATGAAAAAATACTAATTTATAAGTTATAGTTCAACCTCTGTTTCAACTCTTTCACACCCTAAGAAGTTATAATAACAGAACATTCAGAACATACTTTATTTTATATTTCACCTTAGACTAAAACTGAAAAATTACCTTTGAACCTGATCAAATCACATCAAAAAAGGACAAGATGGACAAAAATATAGTTAATATTTGTAGGCTATTGCCATCTATGGCTTGATTAGTACCGCCAGTAACCAAAATATTTGATAAAATGTTTTATACACTCACTTTTTTCCTCATTCATGGTTTATTGAGGTAAACTGTTTATACAGTGAATTAGACATGTGTTAACTTCTGACAAATCTATATACACCCATAAACCCATAGACCTAACGCCCCAACAAAGATTTAGACATTTAATTACCTCAGAAAGTTACCCCTTGCCCACTTCTAGATGATCCTGACCCCTCAGAGGCAAATACTGTTCTGATTTCTATTACCGTAGCTTAGTTTTATCTCTTCTGGAACTTAACATAAATTGAATCATATAACATGCAATCTTTTACATCTGTCCTTATGAAAACATATGGTGTTGAGATAATCCATACTGGTACATGTGTCAGTAGTTCATTCTTTATTATTTCTGAGTAGTATTTTATCGCTTGAATGAACCACAAATTGTTTATCTATACTTCCCTGTTAGTGAACATTTGAGATCTTTACAAGTATTGCTTAATATGAATAAAACTGTTATAAACATTCTTGTTCAAGTCTTTTTGTGAGTATGTGCCTTTATTTCTCTTGGATAGGTAGATATTAGGAGTTGGAACTGCTGTGTCATATGTTAGTTGTTGGCTTATATATTCACTTTTTCCTGCCATTACTATGAGTTCATATGAGTAAGAGTTGGAATAAAAAAAAGACATGACTAAAATTTTTACCCTACAATATTGTATAAACTAATTTCTCATTTTTCTGTGAAAATATGATCTGACGCTTCTCAGGAATATAACAAAATGTTTTTTATTATTTTACTCAGGAACATAACCAGTATGAATTATACATTAAAATTTAATTTGTCATCTTAATTTCCATAACCTTTGTTTTACCCTAAACCTCAAGTTATGATCCACAAATTCTCTACCCCTGGGGGTTCCTTAGGAACATAAAATGGTTTAGTTCTGAAACTTGTTGTAAGAATTGAAAAACATCTGTTTATGTGCGAAAAAAAAAAATTGCAAATGGTAATTTGACAAAAACATTCTACTTATACTTAATTATATGATATTTCATTGAGCTTTATTATAGAAAAGGAATTTGCAAAGTCTTTAAGACTGACTGAAGGCTTTACTCTAAATCCTTATCTCATATGAACAAATTTCATAACACTTTTTAAAACGATGTTCCAGAAAATCTCATAATTTCACCCAAACCTCCTAATTTCACATTTCTATCTTATTGGCTCTCAACGGACTTCTAAAAAAATTCATCCATGTTTCTATATGCACCTGCAGTTCACTCAGCATATACAAGGAGGTTAATTTGGTTATATTTTTGTCATTGTTTTCTAAATGTCTAGAATGAAAGACCTTCTTCTAGGACTCTATAATTATATAATCTGAGATTTTATAGAAAAGAACACTCCGTGAAAATAAATCCAGAACCACTACAATAGGCTTCATGACTTATCCTACATTAGCTCAGGTATCTCATTCATTGCTTTTTTTGTGATTTTTTTAAATTAACCTAACTTATATGTCATTTTAAATAATAAAAATGATTGAAATATAAATTGTAAGCTAAAGACAATTAATAATCGAGGTTTTATTTTCCACATGTATTTCCATACCTAAATTATTATAAATATCAAATAGTATCAGGCATTTTGGTCAGTATCTTTCATAGAAGATGTAGTATATTATTTTTCCTTTAAAACAGAAAATTGACTACTTTTCTAGTGTATAACTTCATTCCATATTTAGAAAGAATTTTACCATATGAAGCACAATACTGCATAATGTAAGTGATCTGGACAACATAAATAGTTGATGGACATTTTTTATTATACCTGACCATGGAAGGTACAATGGCTACTCCATTATTTTATTGCTTCTTTGGTAGAATGCAGTGACCTTTCATTGAGCTGTTTGGAGTACATTCATCCTCATTACTGTCAGCAGATATTTCACACAATTGTTTTCACAATAATACTTAATTTAATGGACTTTTTCTCACCCAACAAAACTAATAACATAATTTCACTGAAGAAAAGGTAATCAAGTTAATGTTTCAGACCATCAAAAATACTATAAAGAACTAGTTTAGTATCTTTAGCTGAGAGAGATTTTAGTCTCTATCTAACATTTCTCTTTATAGATAATAAAATAGAGGCCTAGAATGGTTCACTGAATTCTCTAAGCTCACACAATTAACTGAGTTACCAAGGTTAAAGTGTTAGAATTAAGGTTAGAATTAAGAAGTTGACCTCGTGATTTCTGGGAAGTTCTATGCCAAGCAAAAATGACTTGACATATATATTTGTATGGGTTGACTTATAGATTTATTGTGGGATCAAGATTCTTCCTACTTTATTATGTTTCAACTACTTTTAATAAAAGATGGATAAGTTTTTTAAGTCATTAGCTGGTTGACTCATTTTACACATGTATAATAACTAGTCTTATTCATTTGAAAACATACCTAAATCAAATAATTGATATTTTTCAGTATTTATTAAGCATGAAGAAGAATATTTAAGAGCATAAGTTAAGGTAACCTAAGTAATATTTCTGAAAAATGCAGAAAAGCTTTTTAATGAATAAGGTGAATATGCAAACTGCTGAGGAATTGAGCAATCTCAATGTCAAAACAGAAGAGAAATACGCAAAAACACCTTGGTGAGGAGAAAAGAAGAAAGCAGACTCGGAGTCTCACAGAATATTTTTATGTCATCTTTGTTTGAAAATGGCAGAATGAAATCTTTAAGAAACTATAATGAAATGAGTCAATCTACAAAAGTAAAAAGCAAAAATGAGCAGTATTTTGACTGCAACCCACTCAGACCTGCATGGCTAGAAAGTCTTTGTTGCCAGAAGGCAGCTGGTGTCTGAGGATACAAAACCCTTTTTATTTCAATGTCACATTAAACCCTGGGGCATAAAACTAGGGGCAGACTGCAGAGCCTCTAGTTCTCCAAGGCAAGACTACCTGGATCACAACTAAAGTCAAATGCCAACTAATGTTCCCACTTAAATAAAAAATAATTAGCAAAATAATTAGAAAATATGTCTAAAAGTATTTTTAAAACTATTATTTAGGCTGAGAGAGAAAAAGTATGACTCTGATTTAATACGTAGCTGATAAAACAAGTTGTACATTATACAAATTGCTCTCCAGGAAGAATTATCTTATATTTCAATATCTGTAGGGGAAATTAGAATAGTCAGAAAGAAGGAGGGGCTTCATTTCATTTTCACATATTCAGTATGATATCCTGATACCTGAAAATCAAACAAACTATAAAAGTACTAATAATTAGATTTATATGCAGTGCATTTGTTATCCAATTATATTGTGGGAATTGGATAAAATAACTCACTTTTTAAAATCTAATATAATATTAGGCATTATACTAGGTATGATTTTAATAATCATTTGTTATAATTATTACCCAAACCACCTGCAAACTAATGATTATCCTCAACACTAATTTCACCTCTCTAAAGATACAGTAAAATAAATCCTGATACCTATGTTCAAGAAACTAACATAATCTTACAATAATTTTTCTTTTTGGTCTCTACTGGCATTTGCAGGAATTTAAATTATAATTAATTAAATCCCTTTCCTCATTCTGATGCAAATAGAAACAAAATAATAATAATAATTAATAATAATAACAACAACAACAGCAGCAAATGTGCTCAGAGGATGATAAATGTGCTCTCAATTCCTTTCCTGTCCCCACTGCCCCTGGATTGACTGACAGTCTCTGAAAACATGACACATTCCCGAGTGTATTAATTTATAATTAATTAAATCCCTTTCCTCATTCTGATGCAAATAGAAACAAAATAATAATAATAATTAATAATAATAACAACAACAACAGCAGCAAATGTGCTCAGAGGATGATAAATGTGCTCTCAATTCCTTTCCTGTCCCCACTGCCCCTGGATTGACTGACAGTCTCTGAAAACATGACACATTCCCGAGTGTATTAATTTCCTGTTGGGTACTTATATACAAAGCAAATGTCATGTCTTGACTTCAGATCTGTGATTGACTTATATATGAAAATTCTGAAAAAAAAATTTAATTGGTTCCCTTCTAATTCACATTTCTAGACATACTCCCAAGTTTCTTAAAATACTTTTAAAAAATTTATCATAGTATGACAGTTCTTACTTAAGTACTATAATCTCATAAATTGAGTTTTTAAAATATTAAATGAGGAGAGTTTTATTTAATTCCTATATTAAATGGATGTAGAAAACTTGTTTTTAGTTCGAATGTGACATTAGAGAATTAGATTTCATTAGAAACTAATCCTCACACTTATTAACTATACACTGTTATATTTTTATTCATATTTCAATGAATATAGAAATTCTAAAATGAATCTGCAGCCAATTAAATCAAACCTACATAAGACTGACTCTCTCTCTCTCTCTTCCTCCCTCCCCCCTGCCCAACATACACACACAGAGAAAAGAATGAGACTATAAACAGTACATTTGTATTTTTTTTTTCAATTAAGTGTGCCCTTTAGCTCAGCTGCCAATGTGTGCTTACCTGCAGCCACAGCTTGTTATGCACAGCATCTCTCCCCGTAGCAATACACTGAAATGTAGCATTCTGCCCTGCATTGACCTCTACGTCCCCCAGACGGAGGAAATGAGGAGATTTATCTGTGAAGGCAGGAAAAAAAATTATTGTTTTCACATGAAGAAAACATACCATGTTACTTTTTCCCAACAGAATAATGTTGTTAATGCTTTTTTACCTTTGGCCAAGACTAATATCATATGGAAGAAAATTGAGTTTTCTCTGTGCTGAAAGAAACTATTTTCTCTCTCTCTCACCGTTCTTTTTCTTAGTCACTCTATTATTTATTGCTCCATAATTACCAGAGCACTGTTCTATACAGAGTGAGCACTCAACAATTACTGCTAAAGGACTTCCACAGCATGTAAAACAGTTCCAAGTCAAAGCAAACAGAGATCAAATACCCATAAAACAGAGCATAATGGAAAAATATAATGATATCTAAAATACTGACATATACAAGGCTGTTGAACTATTAAGTTACTCTTTAAGTAGTTAGATTTTTTTTATTTCAATAGCTATAATCCTCTAGTACTTCAAACAAGGGAATATTTTATTTCTCTCAAATACAATATCAGCTAAACTGTTGGTAAATCTACTTCTTATTCCTTTATAGTCCTAAGAAAGTTACCCAAAAGAAATATTAGATCAACAAAAGTGATGACTGCAGTCAAAATATACTATGCATGAGTTAGATGACTGTCAAACTCATGTTCTCTATAATTACCTTTTAAAACTGAAGATTATTCATGTTTTCAACTGAAAGGAAATAGAACAAGAAAAGCTGAGCCTCAGTGAGTAAAAAATTTCATGGAGGCCCATATCACAATGAAACTGCTGTTGTGCTCAATTCATGTATTTAAAATTTTTTTTTATTAATAAAAGCTTTTTCTTAACGATGCTCTTTTAAGAGTGTAACTGGAAACATTGTTTTAATACACTAACAGACTGAAAGAATTTAGTAAACCAACTTGAACATTGACCCTTCTCAGTATATAATATATAATAAATCACTTGACCCTTCTCAGCTACGTCTTTCTACAGTGCATCATGTCAGAAGGCACTTCTGAAAAAGGGGTGCTTTAACTAGAACGTGATCTAGAACAGTGGTTCTCAAATTGTGAATTCCAGACCAGCAATATCGGCATCACCTGGGAACTTATTAGAAATACAAATTCTCAGGTCCCACCCAGACCTACTGAATCAGAACACCATCAGGGATTTGCCATACTCCATAGGTGATTTTATAACCAGATTAGGGTTTTACAACCACTCACCAAGGCTTGACACCTGGCACGATGACCCCGTGCATGCTGTTTATGAAGTGTTAGAAAATTTCTACCGGGAAAATGACTGAACACATCATCTAGAGATCATGGCCCTATAAAATGTTGCTGTGTGGAAATACAGGTAAAATTTGCATTGAAGCCAGCTTTTTACAGCTGGCTATACTGAATCCATGCAATAATTGTCTTTCAGGAAATGTGATATAAACACAAATTTAGCTACACAATCTGAAAACTAACCAATATGCATCTAACAACAAAATTATGTGTTAGTAAACTGAGTTTCTTGTTTTGTTTGCTTCCTCTTGTTTTGTTGTTCAATATGGATTAACTTGATATTTATTATGACATAAAAATATCAGTCCTAAATTCAGAATAAGGTGAACTGATTCATTCTCAACTTTATTCCCACTTTCAATTTAGCAGATCACATAAGTTAGTGAGGTTTCTTTTTATTTTCCTTTTAGTTGAACTCTGATTTGTTCTTCTTTGCTTTCTGAGAAAACTTAGTAAAATCAAAAGATGGAACAAATCCTATCTAGAGTTCAACTTACATTTTTATTTTGTTCTCAGCAATTAAATAACTGAAATAATCTTTTAATATGTGTACAATTAATCACAAGACAAAAAATATTTGATTCGAAAACTCTAGAAATATTTCAGTGTTTTTTTTTTTTTAAACTGAACAGAAGGCTAGGAGTTAGCAACAAAAGAGACAGCAATGACCAAGCGATAAACAATCAACAGTCACTGCCAATATAAGACAAGTGTTGAAAGAACATAGAAAAATACAATTCTTAATCACAACCTACCACAAGGGTAACTCAATACTTGGATGTCATCAATGGCAATATAACCACTTCTCCCTCCTGAGACTTCGGCTTCAAATATTACCTGTCAGGAAGAAATAGAAAACATTTACAACAATCATTTATAAGGAGTTTTCACAGAAAAAGAAGAATAGCTATAAAATTCTCAAGAAAATTTAGTTTGATTTTTTTTCCTATAAGAATTAAAAATTTACCTTATAATGTAATTTCCTGAACCTTGTACAGGTAAACAAAAATTGTTTTTTGAAGAGCAATCAAATTACTGAGGTCAAGTAGCTCTGATTAAATTTTTTAAGTAACTACTACTAAGTGTTGTTAGATTTCCTGAATGGGCAATATCTAGGCAGAATGAAGAGGCAGACACAGAAAATCTCATATCTCTAAATTTTCTCTTATTGATGTTCTCTATTTTTTGTTATGTATTTAACATACACTGAGCACCTACAATATGCCAAGCAGTAAGCTAACCAGGGGAGATAACAAATAATCTAGGCATTGCTCATATGGGCAAATAATTTTCAACAAAAGAGCCAAAACATACAGTGGAAAAAGGAAAGTCTCTTCAATAAATGGTGCTGGGAAAACTGGAAAGCCACCTGCAAAAGAATGAAACTAGACTGTTGTCTATCACCACACGCCAAAATTAACTCAAAATGGATTCAGGTTCTGAATATAAGACTTGAAACAATAAATTACACAGAAGAAAACATAGGAACTAATAAACTCATGGATCTTGGTCTTAAAGAGGATTTTATGAATTTGACCTCAAAGGCAAGGGAAGTAAAAGCAAAAATAAATGAATGAGACTACATCAAACTAAAAAGCTTCTACTCAGCAAAAGAAATTGTCAATAAGATAAAGAGACAACCATCCGAATAGAAAAATATATTTGCAAGCAACATCTCCAATAAGGGCCTAATATCCAAAATATACAAAGAATTCATACGACTCAATAACAACAACAAAAAAAAACAAACGATCCAGTTCAAAAAAATGGGCAGAGGACCTGAACAGACACTTCTCCCTAGAGGACATTCAAATGACCAACAAATATATAAAAGGATGTTCATCATCACTAGCTATTAGGGAAATGCAAATCATAACCACAATGAGATACTACCTCACATCTGTTAGAATAGCTAATCAACAGGACAAGTAATAACAAATGCTGAAGAGGATGTGGAGAAAAAGGAACCCCCATACACTGCTGGTGGGACTGCACATTGGTACAGCCATTGTGGAAAACAGTAGGGAGGTTCCTCAAAAAACTAAGAATTGATCTACCATATGATCCAGCAATCCCCCCCTACTGGGTATTTATCTCAAAGGCTTGAAAACTCATATCCAAAAAGATAGTTGCACATTGATGTTCATAGCAGCATTATTCACAGAGGCCAGGGTATGGAAACAACTAAAGTGTCCTATGATAGATGATTGGATAAAAAAAGCTGTGGTACATATATATAATGGAATATTACTCAGCCATAACAAATGTTCTTTAAAAAACTCTAAAGTTTATAGAAGTAACATAAAAGAAGCCAAATTTTCATCCTTGCAATTTGCACTCATTGCCTTTTTTTCCAAGTTCTTTGTGGTATACATATTAGAGAGAATGTTATACCACTATATTTTGATAAACAAATCTCAGGTTTGTCAAAATATGAGCAATGTCTTTTCACTCAGGTTTATTTTGCAATCATAAATAATTTGACAGTTTAAGGTTAATATCTAATGTTAGTAAATATTATAAAACTGTATAAACAACTTTCATTGGCTTTTACTGTTGAATTGTAAACTTGAAACTTACTGAATTTCATTAACCAATGTTTGTGTGTGTGTGTGTGTGTGTGTGTGTGTGTGTGTATAAAATGAATTATTCAAAGACAGAGGTCACCAGATAGACTAGTGGTATTCCGGGTAAAAGGTACACTATACAACGAACTAGAATACAGCAATGTGTTTGGATAACTAAATAAATGTAATCTGTATGGGTACAATGTGGCTCAAAAAGAAGAGATAACATTAGAGAGGTAGGGATGGAAGACCTTGAATACCATGGGAGTAATGTCAAGAGTATATCTTTTTAATAGTTCCATATCAATAAATATTAAACAAAAGTTTTGATGTTCAAATATAAGTTTGTTATAGAGTTTTGTTGTTACAGTCAATAGCAGGACTTCATATAGCCTTTCTTTTAATAATGTGCCTTTTCAAGAGAAAACAGTTTTAGTATGCCATATTTTAACATTTTATTTGACTATGGGCCCCTTTATTTGTAGAGATATATAGCATATTTTTGGAATATTTTGCAAAACATTTTAGGAAATGTAATGGAAGTTGATGTTTATAGTAGAAAATACAATCAAATTGGTCTATTAGAAAGATATCTAGCTATAAGTTAAAGGATGGCCTAAAAGAAGACTGAAAATAGTCAGGTGATATGCTAATAGCAGTGGAAATAGAGAAATGAAAAGAGGTAAAAGTTAATATTAAGGAAATTGACAAAATAGAATTTACTGACTCAGTTGTAATGAAATTTTCCTTGTGATAAAGGAAAAGGTACAGATTTGAAGGAGAAGATAACTAAATACATTTCAGACACTTCAAATTTGATTTGCCTAGGATAAATGCTTTGGAGATAACTATACCAATATATCTCAAAGAGGAGAATATGACTAAAACAGAAAGCAAGAAGACAGCCGGTAGAAGTAAAGCTAACAAAGTATGACTCAGACACATGGTCAAGGAAAAAGAGAAGTATCCAGAGGTTTCAGGCAGGTCAACACTCCCACCAAAAACATTAGAAAAGGCCAGACGATTATAATAACTGTAATTTTAAAACATAAGATATCTATATAAACGATGGCATCTATATGAACACAAATTTTAGGAGAAGAGTCTCTCCAATGAGATCCTATGATCTCGGCTATGTCTCAATTCCCACGAGAATATTTGTTAATTCTGGGATTAGACTGCAGTTCTAGCTCAGCACAGATTTAGGGTCTCTGATGAGAGAATGTGAAAACAGTGCAGCTTGCTGCAATTGTGTGAAAACAGACTAACCAACTTGAAATTGGGGAGTTGGAATTAAAAAATAAAGGTATAGGCTGTGGTTAAAAAATATAAAATATAGAAGACAAATCAAGAAAAAATTAGAATTAAAAAGTATCAACTGGGGTTAGCCATTAGGAGTTCTCTGGTAACTCTTAAACAACATTATTACAGTGGAGAGGCAGAATCTTCATTGATGGCTGATAATTAACATTCATTGAACACTTATTATATACAAGAGACTGTCCTAAACTAGCATGCACATCCACCCTGGCTCCTGTTGTTTTCTCTCTCCCTCTCCCTCTCTCCATCTCCCTCTCTTCTTCTCCCTCCATCCAACCAAACTCATTTAATCCTCAATATAATCATATGAAGTAGATATTATTTTTATCTTCAATTTAAAGAAAATTTAACAGAACCAATGTCTAACAGCAAACAAGCGGTGTAGCCAGGAATGGACCCAAGTCAACCTGCCTCTAGGTTCTTTTCTTCCATCAACTCCCTACATTGCCTCTAAAGATAAACAAGCAAACACAGTGAGAACATTTCCTTTTAATAGGCTTATATTTTTTTTAAAAAGTCTAAAATGGTAAATTTTAAAAAATTAATATCATCTTAAATAGCATACTAATTAGGTGTTATACTGACTAAATAGCAGTATCATCATCATTACACTCTTCCCATCGTCATACCATAGTTCTATATCCACCCCAAAGCCAATGACAACAGGACACAGTAGGTTAATCTCCCATCCACCCACTACCATCATACACTTGCTCCTGTGTTGCTTCTTTTCTACTACAAGTTTGCCCTTTATGACTATTGATTTCACTGGAATAAGTTGAAAATGAGACGTAGGAGAACAAGGTTTATGAGGGAAGAGGAATGCTTTCATGGTGAAAGGATTACTTATCTATGAATGCAGAAATATATGTTGCATGAGTGTTTGTATATACACATATGATTTAAATTTCATATAAATGTATTTGATATGATAACAATTATCATGTCGGTTCTAAATATTGGAACAAAGGCTTAGCAAGAAATAGAGGAGGGAGTCAGACCTTAAATAATGTATAACTTGAAGCAATTGTGTTAGTCACTTTCTTGAAGGTGAGAAAACTTGTATTTGACTTCTAACTCTCCTGTTTACAAATTCTTGAACAAATCACATAATCTTTTAGAATCAAGTCCCACCTCTATAATGTAAATATCATGCAGCTATCATTATAATATTTTACGAGGGTTAAATAGTACCATACATAAAAGTGCTATATAAACCAAAGGTAAGATTATCAACATTGTTGTTATGTGAGATTTGTATAAGTGTATCTCAAGAAAATATGTTTTATTTGCTTGAATGTAGTTCAAGAAAAGGGAAGGTATACATAGAAAAAGTGAAAAATTCATTTTTGGAAAAAAATAATACATTCTTATAAATAGACCACACATCTGTCTGTATAACTAATCATTATTAGTTATTTCAGTTTTGTTGTAATCAGCATTAATTAAATTATTTTAATTTTTAGGCTTATCTTAGTTTTACTTTTTTGAAATTGTTTAAATTCCTTTGCTCTGAATAGATGATTTTAAGCATGATTACTACACCTCTGAGAAAAAGTTTATTTGTTCATTTAAATTGAGTTTTATTCTGGACAATAAATTTAGGCCTTGGTTTAAAAGAACAGTTCTTTATTAAAGAAAAAAAAAAATGTTTCTCTTTTTTGTGACCTCAATTTCCCTGCTAAGTGTTGTCTTTGCCTCATTAACAAGAGCTAGAAAAAATTTCTAAGATCAGATTCCTTTACTGCTAAGGATCTAATCAGCTTTATCACTTCAACAGAGCCCTCACCTTGTAAGGCTCTTCTGTCCAGTCAGGGGAAACAAATCTCAATAGCTTAATTATGCAAAGCTTGCCTGCGCTAATGCTCAGGTCAGATCAAATGTTTGGTGTCAAGTAGTCAACCAGGGCTTCCCAGAGAAGAGAGAAATGAAAACCATACCAGATATCAA